ACCAGATTAGAACCTAAGAACTGTTGTGATTGACATCCTGGGGAGGACCTGAAGACCACAATGGAAACAGGCAACACGGCCATACTGCTTGGTTTTCTTGTGTTATCCCAACGTTGTTCCAACGCCAACTCAGATGTCAGGTACGATTAAGTCATATATCCCTACTTTATAAGAGGGAACTACCCACCCACCGGACGAGGAGTGAGAAGAGTTTTAGTTCCTATTAACAAGAACGTAGGGACACGAACACGTGTTAATTAGCATCCGAACTAGCATTGTGGCATTGTGCAACGATAGTGCACATGATCAGTATTTACTCGTGTTCTTAACCTAAAGAGAAGTCAGACCCTTTGCTAATTGCTTTGCTAATCCCCAGTCAAGCGAATCATGTTGTTTCACGTGCTTCCTTCTCTTCAAGGTTTTCCGGTGGCCCATTTTACACAGGTTTCTCTGGTTAGAAACATGCTGAAAGATCTGTTATCCGGCACGAGAGAAGCGAACATCACTTGGAAGATGTCCGAGCGATGCCGGATTAACAGTAAAACAAACCACGGTACGGGTGGGATTAGAACTCATGGCCTGGAGTTTTACGACTCACTCGCCATGGGTTCTAACCCCACCCGTGCCCTGGTTTGTTTGCAATCGTGTTATTACGATTTCGTGAGTCGGATAACCAGTAAACTGTTGAAGCAATCTGAATGCACTTCACGTTGATAAAAGCTGGCAAAGAAAAGCCATTTGCAGTTGTTCTTTATGCAGTATGCATATTCCATTCGGTACATCTCAAAAAATATTCTATTCTCCCTGCCCTGGCTAGACTTTATCTGGCATACCAGTTGCCATTAATGCCCTGGTTGCCGGGGTAGAGTGCGTTTCCGGCGTCTAGTGGGCCGGCAGTTCATACCTGTAAAATTAATTTTTTTTCTAGCGTATCGGAGAGGCTGCATACACTGAGAGGTGTGTATCTCTCAGTGTATATCCACTGAGAAATTACTTTAATTTCTATTTTAGGTACTAAAGTGTTCTTAACTAGTGGTGAAGAGGTTGTATGCTGCCTTAATGACGTTCATGTAGTCGACAGTCTTCAAAATTCATTAATTAACCAACCTAGTGTTGTATCCATGTCGAGGACGGTTGCAATGTGCGAAGCTTGCCATGTCTGTCTGTCTGTCTGTTTGTCTGTCTGTCTGTCTGTCTGTCTGTCTGTCTGTCTGTCTGTCTGTCTGTCTGTCTCTCTCTCTCTCTCTCTCTCTCTCTCTCTATCTCTTCTCTCTCTCACACATTTTGATAGATTACACTGAAGAATAAAAGCCGCACAATACCGTGACTGAACCAAAATAAAAAACCCCCATGATAACCAGAAATTGGAAAGAAAAATCTGAGCGACTTTTTCGTGCGAACTGGACCGTATTATACACAAGTGGGGAAAATAAGGGGTGTGGTCTTGCAAGGGAGGGTGACTTGTTTCCTTAAATGAAGGACTCGTCACCGGTAAAAGGAACACTCTTGAATAAGCACTGTAAATAAGTACGATCTGAAATGTGTTAACGCAATGAAAATTAATTGCAAAGACAAGTTGTGTATTAATTTATTATTATATTTTTATTATTGATTATTAATTATATATTATTATTATTTTATTATTAATATTATTATTATTCTTATTATTTTATTATTATTATTTTTTATCATTATTATTATTATTATTTTTATTATTATTATTATTATTTTATTATTATTATTATTAGTATTATTATTTAAATTATTATGATTTGTAGTTGTAGGTAGTAGTAGTGTTGTAGTAAACAGACATAGTGATAGTATTGGTTAGAAATAATAAGCTAATAGTATTACTAGTCATAGCAGTAGTAGTAGCAGAAAATATAGTATTTGTAGTATGTGTTATTACTAGTAGTAGTTAATAGTTTTTTAATAACATAGGCTATTACCCGTGTGGGTCAGAGAGCTCCACAGAGCGTGGCCTCTGCGTATTACTGGATTACAGTGCTCACGAACGACACTGTCACTGGGCGTAGTGAGGTGTCACCAGTGAGACGGTGCACATTATCTTCGTTAGAACTTTTCATATTAGTGAACAAAGAACAACACGCCCTTGTATTACCACAAAGCAAATGACTTTAATTTTTGTTTTGTTTACGTTCGGTAATTTCTCTTGTCTGCATAATTTATTGGTTTCTCCAGACACCAGCCGGAAGTTCATCACTTACTATCTTAGTGATGATTGGGTTTGAAGTGAACTATTGAGTTTGGCTTTATGTCGAGATAACTTTGATGAGGATGGGCATAAGTTGATTATGATGAGGTTAGACTTAGATCATGCTAATTTTCGTGAAACTGGGCTTAGATTATGCGAACTATGATAAGGCTGAATTTAGGACGCTAACTGTGACGAGGTTGAACCTATGTCCTGTGATGTGGTGTGCTTGGGTCACGTGGGGGGGGAAAAAGAGACATCGAACTTAGATCACGTTAACTCTCATGTGGTTCAATTAAGGTCACGTGAAGTGTAAACTAGGTTCCACTAAAGTTACGGTTAAGTGTATGAGGTACGCAATTACGGTCAGTTGCTCTTCATGAAGTACAGTAAGGTACGTTACGTGTATCGAAGCTCATATAAAAGTTACGTTAATCGTGGAAAGGAGAGTTTACGATCGAGATCCTCCCATCCCTTTACAAGCTCTCCCCTGACATCAAACAGCTTGTGGTGATATTCGGTGTGATATCTATCAGTCGTTCCGCTGGAGGTTGGAGGATGGAAAGTTGGGCGGGATGGAGAAATAGTGAAATGAAGGGGGGACGGAATGGAATATATAGACAGGTGGTAAACGGAGTAGATACCACGGAGAATGGACGGATGAAAGATGGATGGGCTGCGGGGAGGGAGGAAACGGATGGTTAAACAGAATGAGTAAAAACACACAGTGCTTCGGTGGATGGTTGGTGGTGGTGGATGGTGGTGGTGGTGGTGGTGGTGGTGGTGTGGTGGTGGTGGAGGTGGTCGTTGTTGTTGTGTGGGTGTGTGTGTGTGTGTGTGTGTGTGTGTGTGTGTGTGTGTGTTGGTGTCATGTTGTTATGTCATAGATAGACATTTACTTGACGTTATATGTGCAATTATGTTACTATGGATATTTTTTTGTTTTACTGTATGGCTATTATGCGTGTTCTGTGGTTGTGTTACATGTGTTCTGGTTGTAATTGCGTTTTCTGTGGTAGTGTTACATGTGTTATGGTGTTATTGCGTGTTCTGTGGTTGTGTTACACTGTGTTCTCGGTGTTATTGCGTGTTCTGTGGTGTGTGTGTTTACATGTGTTCTGGTTATATTGCGTGTTCTGTGGTGGTGTTACATGTGTTCTGTGTTATGCGTGTTCTGTTGTGTGTTATCATGGTGTTTGGTGTTATTGCGTGATCTGTGGTGTTGTTACATGTGTTCTGGTTTATTGCGTGTCTGTGGTGTGTTAACACTGTGTTCTGGTGTTATTGCGTGTTCTGTGGTTTGTGTTACATGTGTTCATTTTGTTATTGCGTGTTCTGTGGTGTGTTAATGTGTTCTGGTGTTATTGCGTGGTTGTGGTGTGTGTCTACATGTGTTCTGGTCGTTATTGCGTGTTCTGTGGTGTGTTACTTGTGTTCTGTGTTACTTGCGTGTCTGTGGTGTGTACATGTGTTTTCGGTGTTATTGCGTGTTCTTGTGGTCGTGTTACAGTGTTCTTTTGTTATGCGTGTTCTGTGGTGTGTTACATGTGTTCTGGTGTTATTGCGTGTCTGTGGTGTGTTTACATGTGTTTGGTGTTTTTGCCGTGTTTCTGTGGTGTGTTACATGTGTTCTGGTGTTATTGCGTGTTCTGTGGTGTGTTACATGTGTTCTGGTGTTATTGCGTGTTCTGTGGTGTGTTACATGTGTTCTGGTGTTATTGCGTGTTCTGTGGTGTGTTACATGTGTTCTGGTGTTATTGCGTGTTCTGTAGTGTGTTATTGTTTTCTGATTGCTATTGCGTGTTCTGTGGTGTGTTACATGTGTCTCTGGTGTTATTGCGTGTTTTTTTTTTCTGAGGTGTGTTGCATGTTTTCTGTTGCGATTGCGTGTTCTGTGGTGTGTAACATAGTGTTCTGGTGTTATTGCGTGTTCTGTGGTGTGTTACATGTTTTCTGGGTGTTATTGCGGATTCTGTGGTGCTAAAGTGTGTTTTCTGGGATGGTATTGTGTTCTTGTGATATGTTTGTGTTGTCTGAAGTTACTGTGTTTAAGGAGATTATGTATGTTCTATGGTGCAAGTGTGTTTATTTGTATACTTGAGTGTCTTGGTGCTTGATGCGTTGTTCTTCTGTGCATGCTGCGTGTTCTTTAGTCTTATTGCGCGCGTTCTTAATGTTATTACGTGGTCCTTGATTGCTATTGCATGTTCTCTGGTGCTCTGTGTTCTGCCTGGTATGGTGTTGCCGGTAT